TTAATGTCGTTGTTTAACGATGTACTCTGCAATATTCCAGCCATATAGCGGCGGACTGTAAATAAATGAGTGTGGGACAGACAATTCAGTGATCAACATTATGAGCATCAATCAACATAATTGGGATACGATGGCACGCAACCAAACAAAAAGAGCGTGACAACCCCATCCTGTTGACGCCTCTCGACAAGCATGGGCTGCTGAAGACCAATTCTAGTCCGGATCTTCACGGGTCACAGATGTAAAGCCAGGAGGAGGGGGGAGATGCATTGTCTCTTCCTGCCTTGTCAGGTGTGATGATGGAACTATACACATGGGACAAATATCGCAGCACCTGTGTTTTCAAACCCACACAGAGCCTTTGAAAACTGGAATCATGATTATATGATTTGTATGATTACTGTTCTCATAGCTCGCTAACCTTGAAATTCAATTAATAAAGCGTTAACTCACCTGACCCATACTCTCATTGCTAAGAACGTTATCAATGTATAATCCAGCCGTCTCCGGTACATCCTTTATGTTTAGGCGTCTTCAAATTTATCTCCGGGTATATGTGTAATGCCCCTGTTTGTTGTTGGACTGGCCGTCCTGACCTCGCTAAAATAAATAAGCGTTCAAAATTAAATATTTGAGTTACTGTTACATTGACACAGTTGTCAGTGGAGTAGTAGAATACTTCGGTTGCCGTAATTCAATACCGGCAATGTCCTACTGCTGGGCCGTCTCTCCTCACTCTGATGAATAAATGAGTCTATTTTTCAGAATATGGTCACATATGGTTAGATTATACATTAAACGATTCTGTAGGTACAGTTGGACATATCGTCAAAATGGACAGCACTAAGACTAAAGCTTGAACATGCAAGAAGTGCCTGGGATACGTCCCTGTATATGCCCTCCTGAGAGGGCAGGTACGTACGTCCAAAAACAATCAAAGTCAATTAAAAATCGCCACATTTTAATCGTAGAATATGTGTATTTTAATGTATGGCTAGACTATTATAAATTGCTAACAGCTGAAGGGATGAATCCAGCTGGGGCCCATGCAGGAAGCAAATGTACTGTAAGTCCCCATGGTCCTTAGTATGGTGATCTACCTTCAGTTTGTTGGCGATCTATAGCTGGCCGGTTTTATATTGTATTGTCGTGTATAGTTAAAATGTTTTAGATTTAGTCATTAGTTTTAAATTTCTATCTGTGTCCTTCGTTGACAGTTTGTTTTTATAATTTACCTTGATTAATATTAATCTATAACTTGGATTTAGTCACGATATGGCTTTGAAATTTTAACTCACTCACTCACTCACTCACGCCCCAGAGTATGCTTGAGGGAATGATGTCTGCGATGACACATTTACACGTGTCTACTGCAAGTCTGAATCAAGGATAGTTATCACCGGTACCTCACCCATGGCGGGAAATATCCCGTGAGAAAACGAGTGGAGAAAACCACCGCACCCTGCCCGTGTAACAATTGAAGGTCCTTTTTCAGGACCATGGAACTCTCTTAGAACATAGAGTTTGACAATGCAATATTGAAAGTTCATTCAATTCTCTACACATACGTATTTGTATATTATTTGTAACTTTTTAATCCATTGTGCAATTTGAAAAACAAAACACCGATGTGTCGGCTGTTCAACAGTATGCTATTTGAGAGAAATTCAGATATACCATCATTTTTGTGCTCCGTTTGTGACAAAACTGTGAAACCGTGCAGAGTTTAACTAGGACTGAATTGTCCTGGCTAAATTCACTCACTCACTAACTTGATAGCATTGTACATAAAAAATATTGAATGTTCAAAGCAGAAACTGTTTGGGCCAAGACAGTAAAACTGATCAACTTACCCCCTTTCACTATGCCCTCGATAGAAATGCTGCAATATATGATTTGGATTGCAGTTCCGGGTTGCCCTTCGGGATGTCATGAAATGAACCTACGTCCTGGCACCTTCGCTTCAATGAGAGGATTTTGTGTAGTTCCCTCAGCATTGTTAAAGGATTCGGTTTGCGTCGTAAACGTCTCCATTTTATTAATTAGGCGATCTTACCTGTGGTCTGGCGTTATCGTTTTGACACGTCAATCCAGGACCCTTCTGCCACAAAAACGGTAAAGCGTTAAACATTTGGTCTCGGTAACCCAGAGCATTCAATTTCCCCTCAATCACAATGACTCACGTCACATGTTATCTTAGCCCAGATCATAACGCCTTACACCTCCAAAATACGACCAGAGAACTGAAAGAGTTGTGCACATTCAGGTTGTGTTTTGTGATTTTACGCAAAAGATCTTTATTTTTATTTCATATATTTTTATGAACGAACGTGAAACTCTGGTAACGTCTTTTTCTCGAAAATTATCGAAGGGCTTGTTTATTTATACACTTAAGACAAGTACACTTGATGTGTGGGTGTGGGAGAAGAGGTATTTTAACAAGCTTGGATTCGACTATAATGTCACTGTCATCTGCTATACTGTCGTATTGTGATGCACAATGTGTAGTTGTTGGCTGACGAGATATGCAAGTTACCAGGTATGACAAATATATCGAAGAATGTTACGTTTTCGCTCATGGAAATATAGCAATAGTCATAAATATCTGTGGGACATTCTTACCACGGTTGCCTCGAAGATCGACAAGGTTGGATGATGCGACCGACTTGTTAAAGGACCCTCATCTTCGTCATTGTCATCGCTTCCATACCGTGACTTCCATGTTCAGGAAACCTTCGACTGGGTTCACAAGTGTATGGTTTGGCCTTGTCTGAAAGAGTACTTCCATGGAATCAGACGTTTCATTGGAGGCCATAGCTTCTCACCATAAAAGGTCACTAGACATTTTTTTCCGTTTTGACAACACATAGGATCAGGTAGCCTTTGTTAATCATAATCTAAGGGGGATAAACCTGACCCGTTCAATTTTGAAAACACAGCAGATTGTCATTTTAAGACGTGTTAATACTTCGCAAAACAGCATTAATGTCTTTCAGTAAAATATTAATCACAATATTTTTAGCAACCAAATGCTTTATACCAAAGCTGTTAACTTTGAAAACACAATAGATTGTTATTTTCACACGTGTTTAGGTTTCTAGCTTTCGAAAAGGTAAAATAGAAATTGTCGATTAAACTAAATAATTACTCATCACAGTTTTGCTGTGATTCATGAAAAAATAAACATTGAGTTTTGTGCGTACATTCCCCCTTAAACTCAACATTAATGTCCTTCAGTAAAATATGATCCATAATATTGTTTGAGGAACCACATGCATCAAACCAAAGCTGTTGAAATTTGCACAGTTTCAACAAAATTTAATGATCTTCCTCGAATAATTTTCTCTGACTGTTTTCACATTGCCCCTTCGTTGAAGCATTTACACCAAAGTAACACAAGCACTAACAAACGGGATTATATGTGGCCCGTTATCACCTCATCAGAAAAGAGACTACATTGTAACACAGACTATACATAACAAGAATATCAAAGGCTTTCCTTGCAGAAACATTTGTATAGTTTACTCCAAACGGTTATATAAAAGTATTATTTTATACACGCACCTATAAGGATACATACAGGTTGTGTGATTGTAACTGATAACCTGTAACACTGTAAACACAAGGTTGTGTGATTGTAACTGATAATCTGTAACACTGTAAACACAAGGTTGTGTGATTGTAACTGATAACCTGTAACACTGTAAACACAAGGTTGTGTGATTGTAACTGATAACCTGTAACACTGTAAACACAAGGTTGTGTGATTGTAACTGATAATCTGTAACACTGTAAACACAAGGTTGTGTGATTGTAACTGATAACCTGTAACACTGTAAACACAAGGTTGTGTGATTGTAAATGATAACCTGTAACACTGTAAACACAAGGTTGTGTGATTGTAACTGATAATCTGTAACACTGTAAACACAAGGTTGTGTAATTGTAACTGATAACCTGTAACACTGTAAACACAAGGTTGTGTGATTGTAACTGATAATCTGTAACACTGTAAACACAAGGTTGTGTGATTGTAACTGATAATCTGCTTCAAATGAAAATGCTGTTAAACACATCCTGGTTCATAAAACTCCATGGGTGTGGTCGCCGTATTAATCTTTTCATCCAGTGGTTAATACTAAGGGCGTCTGTCAACGTTTACATAAGGGTAACATTGCATGTTTATCACAAAGGTATGTTTCTGTTTACAATGTCCTCATTTTCACAGTAATTGAACTGATTTGAAGGCTTGGAGAATTTCTTACACCCAACTACTTAAGAAGGGCCGAACATATTCACCACATAATTAAAACCCAACATCAACATGTTCATATTTGTGAGTGAAGATTCACTGTACAAAGATCATTTTTGAAACTCGGAATAAATATTGTACGTTTGATATTCCTTTTGCCCTGAAATACGTTATATTTTAATAAACTGTGTTACTCTGCTACCTGAACATGTACTCCTACTGTCTTGTAAGTTTACTGAATGCTTCTCAGCTGCCACCGAATCCACACCGGAAGCTTACAAGTTTTTAAAAATAGTCTCCAAAATATCATATATACAGGTTTTCGTTAGTAGGCACATAGATAGGGCATGTTTAAGTTCCAATGAATCAAAAGTTTTAGTTTGTGAGACAGTCTTCATAGATTGCTCCATCTGAAAGAAAGGGAATCGTCTTGTAGAATATGTAGGATGTACTTTCTATCTTCGCGTACTTTGTATCCTTGCGTAATAAATATTTACCAGGTGTTAGACTGGGTCTCCTTTCATGAAGCAACCTTTACTAAGGTTAACCTTAACTGCCATTCTTTAACATTGCACAAAGGTTACCTTCGTGACTTACGATCACCTTAGTCTCCAGCAGCCACATGAACGAATGTGAATTGACCCACACAATGAGACACAATGTAATTTTAATGTTTAAATTGTGCTTGTTTATTGTTTAGCGCTGCGCTGAACAATATTCCAGGTATATGACGGCGGGCTGTAAATAATTAAGTCTGGATCAGAAACAGATAGCGTATAACACTTCCTGGATGACACACACACCAAGGCAAGTTAAATGATCACCTGGACCAAGTAGGTTCATCGGGCAGCAAATTTGATATTTTCCTGCAAAATTTGTCGACCATGTACATTTCTGTAACTGCATGGAATGGTGTAACTTGAAGAAAATACTTTGTGCATTCATGATGTATGACTCAATTTTCAATCGTCATAAACGGAGTACACCTTCGATCTCGACTGTTGTGACATTTGGAGATCAATACTGGATCGGTAGGAATACGGATCGATACATAAAGACCTCCTGAAGGTTGAGGTCATGTCTCTTGTTAAACGTTCTTCGATATTATTGGGTGGCTCTGAAGCTTAGTGCGTATATTGAAACAAAATGAGGCGGTTTCACGGGTCTCTTCAATTTTCTTTGTCACGTGGGTAAATGAGTGGATGCGCATGAGCTACTTGACCACTTTGATTGGTAGTGTACCTAGACGCATTCGGTCGTATAGCAGGGCAAGGCACCGAAAAGACACTTAGAGAATCATATCTCAACATATTCATTTCAGTAAAGCTTCTTTATACACATGTATTAGATATTTGTCGAAACAACTTTCTCAATAATTCCTAAGAACACTATAGGGTGCTAAGCGCTTACAAGAAATACGTACCTTTGACTGAGACGTACACGTCCCCTGTGTGGTGTCGTTCCTGATGACTCCATATTCATGTAGGACACTCGCTCCATGTTGCAGTGTTGTATAGGGCCTTTCATCAAGCACTTCTGCAAAATAACGTTTCATATTGACACACTAATACTGTATTTGATAAATAAATACTGTACAAAAGCTGTATAATATGTATTAATTAATTAGATTGACTTATCATAATAGGTCCACATGTATGGCGCTGAATTCCACGCCGCACGGGCATGCTCTAAGCGCATGGAACTTAATGGACATTATTACTTCGGATAACCCTGTGAGGTGCCATATGTCTTATCCTGCTGGGAACGCAATAACTGCTGTGTTAACATATGTAATTTGGAAAAAACTCGCATGCCTAAGGTGATACCACATGTGCTTCATTGTGGGGCAGGACTGAATTGCATGCCCGAGGCGTTAACATATTATTACCCGGTTAATGCTAACATACATATGACTTGTCCCCCAGGGTGCCCATTCTCTACTGGTTGAACAGAGGAAATTTATGAAGAAATTTACATGACTAGGGAGGGAGACGTGTGTTACATGTGCTTCGAATTCGTTGTGGGGCAGGACAGAAGCCCCAAAACGTCTCAGAACTCAGTCTGCCAAACACAATCACCCTACCAAGAAATCTCATTGACCAACGTTACTTAACTGATTTCGGACTTGAGATCTTTACACAAGGCCACACACCGCCATTATCATAAAACCTTTCGTTCTCACACACATGGCCTGATAAATACTCTCAGTAAAGTGTAAGCATTACATTTGAAAATGCTCAAATTGTGCTGAAAGTGCCTCTTTAAACCTTCTTGATTTCACTTCATGTGTGGAAAGTATTGTGTTCTCTGAGGAAAGAAATGATGAAATACGTTTTTGCACGTCTTCCTGCTCCATCTTCTCCTGTATATGACCACACCAATCACAGTCCCAGCGATCAGCAACAACCCAAAGACGACACACACAACTACCACTACAGTATTGTCTGAAAGAAAAAAACTTGAATCTTAAGATTTTCACTTAATATCGAACAAATGCCACATTTCTGGTGTCCCCCGCCTTGATAATCCTGGAATGTTGCAAAAGCAAAACGCGGCGTAAAACTAAACACCCTCACTCACTAACAAATGACGGATGCAATATGCACACGCCTCACAATAATCATTATCAGTTGACGATGGTGTATTAAATTCAAAACATAAACTACTTTTAAGATGTGTGTTGTGGATATATTGTTAATAGAAACTAGTGCTCAAAAGAAGCTATACACCACAAAAGATTGCATAAAATTCACTGTTAATATATTAAACTAGTGTTCAAAAGAAACTATGAACCACAAAAGGTTGCATAAAAAAATCACAAAAAAAATAGAAATAAAGTGATAAAACCATACTGAGCTATGTGACACACGTACAGACACATCCTTACCGGGAACACACGTACAGACATATCCTTACCGGGAACACACGTACAGACACATCCGTACCGGGAACACACGTACAGACATATCCTTACCGGGAACACACGTACAGACACATCCTTACCGGGAACACACGTACAGACATATCCTTACCGGGAACACACGTACAGACACATCCTTACCGGGAACACACGTACAGACATATCCTTACCGGGAAACACACGTACAGACACATCCTTACCGGGGAACACACGTACAGACATATCCTTACCGGGAACACACGTACAGACATATCCTTACCGGGAACACACGTACAGACATATCCTTACCGGGAACACACGTACAGACATATCCTTACCGGGAACACACGTACAGACACATCCTCTCCGGGAACACACGTACAGACACATCCTTACCGGGAACACACGTACAGACACATCCTTACCGGGAACACACGTACAGACACATCCTTACCGGGAACACACGTACAGACATATCCTTACCGGGAACACACGTACAGACATATCCTTACCGGGAACACACGTACAGGCATATCCTTACCGGAACACACGTACAGACATATCCTTACCGGGAACACACGTACAGACACATCCTTACCGGGAACACACGTACAGGCATATCCTTACCGGGAACACACGTACAGACATATCCTTACCGGGAGGACACGTACAGACATATCCTTACCGGGAACACGCGTACAGACATATCCTTACCGGGAACACACGCGTACAGACACATCCTTACCGGGAACACACGTACAGACATATCCTTACCGGGAACACGCGTACAGACATATCCTTACCGGGAACACACGTACAGACACATCCTTACCAGGAACACACACGTACAGACATATCCTTACCGGGAACACACGTACAGACATATCCTTACCGGGAACACGCGTACAGACACATCCTTACCGGGAACACACGTACAGACATATTATCCTTACCGGGAACACGCGTACAGACAGATCCTTACCGGGAAACACACGTACAGGCATATCCTTACCGGGAACACACGTACAGACATATCCTTACCGGGAACACGCGTACAGACAGATCCTTTCCGGGAACACGCGTACAGGCATTATCCTTACCGGGAACACACGTACAGACACATTGGTGCAAAAGTTCAGACTTTGATACCATGTGTCTTTCACTGTCAGTCAACATATGTTTATAGATGTTTTATTGTATTTTCAAGTTTGGTCAAACATAGTGTATACTTTCCTTTGAGCACTATATGCCATCATTTATAGAAGCCACTCAAATCTGATATAAATTATAAAATAAAATGATTTTACAACAATGTCATGGAGAATATTTCACATCCTGATTTTGTACACACCCATTCTGTAATTTATTTTTATGTGATTTCTTCTTTATTCATATAAATAAACTCAAAAGCAAAAAATGCTGTCGGAAATCTAAGATAAATATTGAACAATTTTCAACTACTGTAGAAAGGACAAACGTGAAGGTTAAATTCTACAGGTGTAATTCAGACGTATGTGCCTCCTGCAAGGTTGAGCTGACAACGGCGTAAGTGTCACTGAGCGTATCTGAGAACATAAAATACGTCACACACATAAAGCTGTGCAGCAAATGTTCTCCTTCTAGCGGTGTCACCTACAAAATATTAGACATCAAAGCAATGTTACCATGACTGTTTGAAGTTTTAACCGCTTTGTTACTGAGAACAAGAAGCGGTCATATAAAATGACATATATTATATACAGTGAACTACTGCGACAAATGGCGAATGAAATGCTATTTTTGGAGTGGAAATATTTTCCTGTGGATGAGATGATTGAAAGAAAGATGTCATGAGAACTGAAATACAATGTAAACATGTAAATAACATAAGCAATATATTGCATCATGAAGCTGAATCTGAAATAGAATTTGAAAGTGCAACATTTTGTTTTGATAATAAGTTCAACGCATAACAAAATAAAGCATACGAAGTTAAAAATAAAACATATGATGGTGCCCGTGCAAAGATGTAAACTTCTTTAATTAACGATTTAGTTGTGACCACAAACAGGTCACAGTACATAACACGACAGAGTCACACTCATAGTACAATCGTAATTATAGAAAACAGTATAGTCACAGCACATCGCATGACGGATGTGTAGTTACAGCACATCATATGATAGATATAATGTTACATGACAGAAGTATATCGTCACAGCACATCGCATGACAGAGGTGTAGTTACAGCACATCATATGATAGATATAATGTCACATGACAGAAGTATATCGTCACAGCACATCGCATGACAGAGGTGTAGCTACAGCTCATCATATGATAGATATAATGTCACATGACAGAAGTATATCGTCACAGCACAGCACATGACAGACCTGATATGAAGAGACATGACAGACATGTGACTGACACATGACTACAGTTAACAGGTCAACATACCTGGAGGTCCTGGTCTAACAGCGTCAGTATTTCCAGGAGAAGGTCTTTGTGTACTCGTAGCTGTTGTAGTGGGAGGGGATGTGGTTGTAGCAACTGCAGATGTTGGTGAAGAGAGAGACAGACAGAGAGGAATACATGCATTAGTTCAGTCACAGTTAGATGATCATGCTCGTGCAAAGATATACAAGCTCATTCCTACAACAACTTCAGATATATATCTGCCATATCAGTACCTTATTCATCCTGCTATATAGCACTTTAAAGCCTCGGCTGCTACAATCTCATGTGCATTTGTAAATAAATAAGGATTTACTTTACTTCAGCAAGTAATAAACTTCGAACATGAAAAATGTCACGTTTCGAAATCAGGGCTCAAATCTGCAGTCCCAGATTGATCCTGATTAATACTATTGACCACAGTACAAGCAAGGTACATACACAAACTATTAAGGATGAGTAATATTCTTGATATTATGATTCAGACGTCTACAGTGCTGTGGAAGCAATAAATATTCAAAAGGGTCTCTCAGGTCATATACCGGTAATATACCACAACCTTCTCCAACCTAGGCAACAAATTGTCTGTCTAATTAATAAGAATATCACTTTGTCCAGAATAACTCAGGATCTTCCAGAAAGGTCCTTAAGTGAGTAATTTGTTTCAGAACTGATATCAAATATATAACAAAACCAGTAGTCTGTACTCACCAACATTGATGTTGAGGGACTTTGATGCAGTAGTGTACGTCACACCCCCAACAACATTGGTGGCCAAACATGTGTATGTTCCAGAATCTTCAATTTGTATATTAGAAAGTCTCAATTCATCGCCAGGTGATGTGGAATTATCCTCTCCTTCTTCTGCCAGGTGTAGGTCGCTGGTGGGTTGGTAACAGCGTTACACTTCAGGCATTGACGGTGTCGCCTGACAGTGTGTGTGTCCCCTGGATGGGTTGAGCTGACATCGGGGTCACTGTCACTGAAACGGCGTATCTGAAAGCATAAACTGCCTCAACACTGACGACATCGATGTATGGAGCTTAAACAATTTGTTTGCTGTTTCACGCCTCTGTTAGCAATAATCAAGCTATATTGGTTGCAAAATAATTGAGTCTGACCAGATTAATCCTAGTGATCAACAGTATAAATTATAGATCTAAACAATTGGGATGCAAAGACTGAATCAACAAATTCAGCGAGCTCTGAATACCCACCCACCCACTCACATTCTGTTTTTATTCGTTTTAAATTCAACATTCACAGAACGAAGTCTTATCAAAAGCACGCCAGCTGGGTGGTTTCAAAAACAACAGTTAAAACATTACTGAACTTGTCAGGAGATCTCGAGTCACATACATTACTTGGTGAAGTATAATAAACATATCCCCTTCTTGATATATATTTGCTTACAGAAAACTGTCATGGTGTCAGTTTGCCAACATGTAGAGCTGCATTTGTCGGATCCCGTAGGCGTTGGGATTGTAGAGTGGTTTGGCAGGCACATCTGATGATCATCCCATTGTCCAGTCTGCTGACATTCAGAGTGAGCTGACGTATTCGTTCAGAGGTGCAAGTTCCTGACTTGGATAGGAGGATTTAGTCTGGCCAGACTGGTAATGACCGTAAAGGTGTTGCCACGGTACCGGAACCACAGGAAGTCTCCGGCAGGTTTTCCAACAGCCCCTGGCACCGGAACTCAACCTGCTGCCCTTCCCTGTAGCCAGTGCTAGTTTTGGAGGAGACGGTGCTATGGCTGGTCTCCCCTGGCTCAGCTGCAATGGAACACAAAGTATTCCCACTTATACCAAGATCACGAAGTTTCCTGTAAATTGTAAAACATGTTTTATTTCCGGGTTGATACAATTTTGGAACCAAGTTGTGCGGATTGATGGGTTTAAAAATGATTATTCCATTCACAACGGGTTACGAATTTCGTGTAAACATGTCTCAAGTTTCTGTTCTAAATGATCTGCACAGAACAAGGTTGGGCTAAAAAGGAAACACACTGTGAAAACATGTTGGTGTGTTGCTGTACATTTCACTCATGCAAACCAGATTGAAAGTTGTTCTGCTTATTGCTTTAAACTTAATTAAACATTTTCGCCTTTGTGCAGCTCTGTTTCACATGCGGGCTTCTGTCACGTTAGGAACGTGCAATCAGCATGTTGGATGTCGGAACAACACAGTGCATTGTGGAACGACCTCTTGACGTAAAACGTTGATGACAGAGGTCGATCTAGTCGACCAAGAACGACAATTGGCGCACAAGACTCTTTCATCTTACGTTACGGAACTGTGCCAAAGGTCCCTTCAAATTGGTGATGTCCCTTGACAGAGCTACGAGGATTAGAGTGAGTGAATAGGCGATTCGTAATCGGCAGCATAGATGGAAACTGCACACCTGACGTCCACGTGTTGCCATTACTGCAAGACATCGTTGATGTCAAGAGCAGTAGCACTGGGCCAATCGTGGTTTGCAAAACTCTTATGTTTTCCATCGAATCCAGGTTTACTCTGGACTACTTCAAGAGGCACAACAGAGTGTAGCGTAAAATGGAATGAGCGTTTTCCTGCCGTTATACAGACAATGGTAGATGTGCGTCTGTTTGCGCTCCTATTCGGACGTCATTTTGTTTTAAGGATACCAACACGTGTATTTCAGTATAGAAGTCAACACGACTGCCAAATACACGGTTCGAATTTGAATTTTCAACGCTGGATCAACCTACATCACTACATCTCATTTCCTCTTTCACGATGTTGGTGCTGCGCGAAATTACAGTATTTTGTAGTGCTCATTAATAAGCCCAGGGCACAGTGATGTCAGAAAACATATTCGTCCTGACTATCAAAAGTGTGTCGCAGTTCAAAACCACTGACGAATCCCATTATCGCATATAATTGGCAAGAGTTTTAGTTAAATGCGATATATATACGAGTTTTAGCAAACAAAACGGCATCTGAAATGGACGGGTGCAGTAATTATTCGCAACAGGGTTGAATACATTACAGTTGGAATGGATGCAGAGACTGCATATATGTTTTTCATCTGAGTCATAAGTTAGATCGACGACAACTACAAATATACATCCTTTTAAATATCTCAAAAAAATGTAAGATAAAAATTTGTATTGTTTAATTATGAGTGAGTGCGTTTAGTTTTTACGCCGCACTCAGAAATATTCCAAGCTATATGGCGGCGGTCTGTAAATAATCGAATCTGGAACAGACAATCCAGTGATCAACATCATGAGCATCGTCCTACGCATTTGGGATACTTTATGACATGTACTAAGTCAACCAAGTCAGCGAGCTCGACCACCCTGATCGCGTTAGTCCCCTCTCTTACGACAAGCATGGGTTGCTGAAGACCAATTCTACCCCGGATCTTCACGGATGGATTGTTCAACGAATCTAGATGACATGCGTGTCGTAAACGCTTCCTTTAAGCGTTATACGGAAATCAACACCTTTACCCAGCAAGAGAAGATCCATCTCTGCTTCTTCTGGAAGCAGCCGTGTCAGCAATTGTTTGGTAAGCAGCAGCAGTACACTTGTAAGCTGCCCTCATCCTCTCACATTCAACACGATCAAATCGCACAGTTGTAGGGAATTACTGGATAAATCACAAGATAAGATGAGAGTTGTCCGATCTCTAAAATCCTGTGTAACACTTCTCATCATAGAGTGATGAGCTTGCAGATGGTCTGTAAGTTGCAATGTCTGTGAAACCTGGGTCTGCAGCTCTCTGCCTACTCATGGTTATTGAAAAGTGTTTCTCCTGTTAAGTAACGACATAGTCACACTTGGACAGTCACAGGGTTGGGTCCTATAGTCCCCTGGGTCTCATCTTTTGTTGTCAGTGTTAGTCCATACACATAAGAAATACCTGGAAAGGAAATGTTTGTAATTTTAACTGTTATAAACACCTGAACTCACCCCGTGACAGTTGCCCTGCCTTTTATACTGAAAACTTAAAAGTGTAAACCCAAGAAAAGGGACGAACATTTCTATTTAGATTTGTACTTTTAAGTAACAGCAGAACCTCATCTCTCTTTACATCTGACAGTCTCCCAAATTAGGCTGTTAATATGATAATAATATCTGAATCACTTGTGCGCGCTCAGTGCGCTAACTCGTTACAACTCCAACCTGCCTGTGAGGCACTCACTAAATATTGATGAACAGAGGCAATTTTTAATTCACTTGCCTGGGGCGAGACCATATATGTGTCACATGTGCTTCGTTGTGGGGCAGGACAGCAGTCCAAGAAACTATCATAAGTCTATATATAGCTGCGAAGCCCGGCCACCCATCCAAGGACTCTCCTCGATCAACGCTGCTTAACTTCAACTGATTTGTGATTAGGGACTCTATGCACAGGATCACACACCACCAGATTTAACTCTATCCATTTACTTGTGTTCGGTTAGATGACACAGTTTTGCTTCCATAATAGGGGAAACACCAGTAAGTAATGTTGAAATTCCACACCTTGGGCGTAAGGACAAAAGTTTATGTACATAGGTTTTTCTATATTCTATAAAACACCAGGCGTGTATCTTTTGGTACATCAGTTTAGTTGCTCATGCAGTCAAACAGACCATTTACCTGTCCTACCTTCCTCTGCTGTGATATTGTTACATTTCTTCACTCACTCTTATATATCTATCACTTATATGCTATAACTTGTGGGTATAATTCATAACTGTTACAGAACAGGTCAACTGGGCCAAGAAAAATAATATAAATGTACAAATGAAAAGCTGTGTTTGACAAAAGCTCGCACTTGATTTTACGCAATCATTCGTGATAACCAACATTCAAATCTGTTTACCTTTACAATTCATGATTGAAAATAAATGTCAGGAAAACACAGGTACATTAAGCTTAAAATCGTTTGATCGTGATTATTTGACATGTATTAAGCTTTGTTTTATGTACATAGGACAAACCGAAAAAAAAACACAAACAAAGAATAAAATAAAGAAACTAGCAAACAACAAAGGTAATACCATCCATCGTTACTTCTTTTCATGTGAATAAAATCAATTCCATCGACCCCAAATAAAACACAAAAATGTAAAACAAATAACACGTATGCGATAATGAAAACACGCAGTGGAGTTTTCTGTGAATACAATCAACTTAAGACATCTCCCAACCTGCAAAAATACAAACAAATATAAAAAATACTTTATGATGATGTAACAACGTGGTGGGATTTCGTGTGTGAACACAAAACTCCTACCCCACCCCCACACCTACTCCTACCCTACCCCTAACACTGCCCACCACACCCACATCTACCCTACCCCCACACCTACTCCTACCCCACACCGACCCTACCCCCACAATCCACACTCCTACTCCCACACCCTACTCCACACCCACACCCACCCGACACCCACACACCTACACCTACACCTACCCTACCCCCAAACACAATATAAAAAAATACTTATGATGATGTAACAACGTGGTGGGATTCTGTGTGAACACATAACTCCTAACTCCTACTCCCCCACACTCCTACCCTACCCTACCCCAACACCCACCCACACCCACATCTACCCTACTCCCCCACACCTACCCCTACCCCCATACCCACCCTACCCCCCATTACACCTACCCACACTCCACACACCTACCTCCTACACCCACACCTACCCCACTCCACTACCCCACACACCCACACCCACACCTACCCCTACCCCACACCTCCCCCCTACCCCCACACCTACACCTACCCTACCCCCACACCTACCCACACCCACACTTACCCTACCCCTACACCTACCCCCTACTCCCCACACCCACACCTACCCTACCCCCACACCTACCCTACTACCCCACACCTACACCTACCCTACCCCCAACACCTACACCTACCCTACCCTCTACACCCACCCTACCCCCACCCCCACACCTACATTACCCTACACTACACCTACCATACCCCCACACCTACACCTACTCCTACCCCCACACCTACCCTACCTCACACCTACCCACACCCGCACCTACCCTACCCCCACACCCCTACCCCCACACCTACCCTACCCTACCCCCACACCCACCACCTCTACCCTACCCCCACACCTACACCTACCCTACCCCTACACCTACCTACACCCACACCTACCCTGGCACCCTGCACCCACAACCCTACCCTACCCTACCCCCACTCCTACACCTACCCTACGCCCACACCTACCCACACCCAAACCTACCCTGCCCCCACACCTACACCTACCCTACCCCCACACCTACCGACACCCACATGCCCGCAGGCTAATAGTATAAGCGGATATTTTCACAAAAATGTTAATGGTTATGTTCTTCAGCGCATAATTTGACAGCGCATGCGTAAGTCGATTAATATGAATATATTAATATCGACAGCGCAGCGTTCATGCTATGAGCATTCACGCTAATGATGATAATATTAGTTACTTTGTATTGCGCTTTTTCATGTGCAATATCTTGCACAAAGCGGAGCAAGGGAAACACGTGGTGGGGCGTGGTGGTGGGGGTGTTGGAACTTCATTAGAGGAGGAGAACTATGGAAGTTTAAGGAGAAAAACAAAAATAAATCAATATACTGCCGGGAGGAAGACTAGTCCTATCTGTTTTAAACACGCTTGGTTATTGATACAACTGCCTACGAACAACTCAACCTTACGTTTCACGCTAAGGTAATTGCCCAAATATCTGGACTCGACTCCACGAACCTTAGACTAAGGTTGGGCTTCTCTGTATGACCTAAGAGAATGACCTAGCTTCTTGCCCTTCTACACTGTCAGTGAGTTACAGCAGGTCATTAGGTACAGCCGCCGTACTTCCGTGTAAGACAGGCGTCAAGCTTTAACAAGTGTTCCACTGCAGTCACTCGCCGGACTGGTTATGAAACCTGGCGACCTAGCTGGTAAGTGTCATCGACTTGATAACAATCCTGCGTGTGAACATTGTCAACGAAAAATGGGGAACATGACAAAAAAAGTGAACAAATAATTCGAGTATTATCAAAAGCGAAAAATATGTTATTTGGTATGAGGAACACGTTCTTCATCATAATCGTATACTTGGTGAAACAGAGTAGAGGTCATGGTCGCGAAAACGCAACTCGTTGTTATGTCACAATAGATAACTTACCGACTGAAATAAGTCCTATCGTGAAGAGCCACCCTGTGATTGTCGCTGCCCGTGTCATGACTTCAACAATGAACAGAATTCACTACAGAACTTGATGTCGATCTGATCATAAAAAAGGTCTCGATTATTCATCGTTAAAAGAAACACGTCAGAAGGTCCACCCGCTGACGACGTGAAGGCCACTTTGTAACTGTGCACGCCAGCGAAAAATGTATATCCTGTTTGACCTGAAACAACATCAGGAAGAATAAAAACAGTACCTGTCGACAAGGATCCAATTTGGTTATGTTTTGTTTGTTGTTTAACGCCGCACTCAGCAATATTCCAGGTGAGGTATTCCCGTAAGTAGAAGTTTGTTGTTGCAGTAGTATCTCCTTGATTGTTGTGTTGGTGTTGTTATGAGGGGTTAAGTCACTGGGTGCTGTAAAAGTCTGAACTATGTTGTGAAATATGATTTGAGTTTACTGAGTTCATTTACTGAGTTTAGCTCACTGAGATTATAATGGTACTGATTAATGTGTTCACTCAATCAATGTGAGTGAAACTGATTAATTTGTTCGCTCAATCAGTACCATACAGTACATTTACATGTGTTACATATTGTATAAATACTATCAAGTTTCAACTGGTAGTATCATTTTCACAATGGCCCAGGCATAGTTCCGCGAGTTTGCCGCCTGAAAAGGATGTTACTTTCATTTTTCCCATTGTGTGTGGCCCCAAAGAGACTACAAGAACAACGTGGATGTTACCAAGTTCATCCGACGCTGCCCTCATCTGCCTTTAGTTCCAGTGGCAAATGTAAGTATATTTACTGTTAATTTTACTGTTACATAAAAATATTATATATTGTATCACACCATTAAAATCAAACCATTTCATTTCTAAGTGTTACCAGGTAAACCAACATTTTCTAACTTTTGTGTTTTTGCATTTTAGGTGGAAGATGTCTGGCTCTGAAATCCTAGAAAACATGATAGACAACAGGTGCCTGCAGGTCGCAGACTTAGATGACCACGAGCTGGGTTCAGGCTAACCACTGAGAATGGAACCACCATGATACCAACGGGCCGAGAACAAACAACACATTCCCTCCTTCTCTCATTCCCCCACCCCCTTACACCTCCACCCCCACTTCACACTCCACCCCTACCCCCACCCAAACACCCCACACCCAGGCTATACATCCCACCTCCCCTGATGGTACTCATACATACATAGTGATCTGTACCATGATACACCCCCAGAGGGTACTATGATACATACATACAGTGGTGATGATACATACATAGTGACCATGATACATACATGGTGATGGTACTATGATACATACATGGAGATGGGTACTATGATACATACATAGTGATGTGTACTATGATACATACATGGAGATGTGTACTATGATACATACATAGTGACATGGATGATGGTACTATGATACATACATGGTGAGATGGTACTATGATACATACATGGTGATGTGTACTATGATACATACATGTGAGATGGGTACAATATGATACATACATCATGATGATGTGTACCATGATACATACATGGTGATGTGTACTATGATACATACATGGTGATGTGTACTATGATACATACATGGAGATGGTACTATGATACATACATAGTGATGTGTACTATGATACATACATGGAGATGGTACTATGATACCATGATACATGACACACATGATGATGTGTACTATGATACATACATAGTGATGTGTACTATGATATGTACCATGATGATACATACATGGAGATGGTACTCATGATACATACATGGAGATGGGCACTCATGATACATACATAGTGATGTGTACTCATGATACATACATGGAGATGGTACCATGATACATACACATGGTGATGGGTACTATGACACACACATGGTGATGGGCACTATGACACACATGGATGAACCATGACACACACATGGAGGATGCACCATGACACACATGTGAGATGCACCATGACACACACATGGTGATGGGCACCATGACACACACACATGGCACCATGACATGATGGCACCATGACACACACATGGACCATGACACACACACCATGACACACACATGATGACAAGGACCATGACACACACATGGTGATGCACCATGACACATACATGGTGATGTGTACCATGACACACACATGATGACCATGACACACAACCCATGACACACACATGGATGGACATCCACACACACATGCACCACACACACACATGACACACACACATGTGACACATGACACACACATGCACATGACACACACATGACATGGACACAGACACACACACATGGACATGCACACACACATGGACACATGGACACACAGATGACACACACATGACACACACACACACACATGGACACATGACACACACACATGGACACAGGACATGGACACACATGGACACATGGACACACACATGGACACACATGGACACAGGACACATGGACATGGACACACAAGGACACACACATGGACACACAGGACATGGACACACACACACACAGGTGGACACACATGGATACACACATGGACAATGATGGAACAGATGGACACATGGACATGGACATACATGACAGACACATGGACACACATGGTGGACACACATACAAGGACACACAGGACACATGGACACAAGGACACATGACACATATGGAAGGATGGATATGGAGGGATACATATATGGAGGAAATATATATGGATAGCATATGATGGATAGGATATATGGTGGTGGAAGGATAAATATATGGATATGAATATATATGGAATAAGGATGGATGGATATATGGATAAGGAGGAAGGATGCAAAAAGGAATATATATGGAATATGGATAAATAATATAGGAGGATGGATATAATATGGAGGATAAAATATGGGATATATAGAATGGAGGAATATATATGGAGATGGTAATATGGATATATATATATGGAGGAATGGATATATATGGAAAGGAATATATAAATGAAAGGATATATATAGGAAGGGAAGGATATAGTATGGAAGGGAGGATATGGAGATGGAAGAAAATATGGTGGAATGGAATGGATATATATATGGACAGGATAATGGAAGGATAATATGGAATATGGAGGAGTGGAGGATATATATATATAGATGGATATAAAATATGGATATATATATGGATATATGGAAAGGATATATATATGGAAGGAATGGATATATATATGGAAGGATGGATATATATATGGATGGTGGATGGATTGGATATGGAATGGATATATGGATATATGGATATGAGGGAAGGATAATATGGATATATATACATGGAAGGATTATATGGTATATATATATATGGAAACTAAGATATATAATGGAGATGATAAATATGGATATATGGAGATGGATACCTATGGAATGGATGGATATATATATGGTGGATATATATATGGAGTGGAAGGATATTATATATGGATGGGTACTATGATACATACATGGTGATGGAGTACTATGATACATACATGGTGATGGTGTACTATGATACATACATGGAGATGGGTACTATGATACATACATGGTGATGGGTACTATAGCGATGGTGATGGGTACTATGATACATACATGGTGATGGGTACTATGATACATACATGGTGATGGGTACTATGATACATACATGGTGATGGGTACTATGATACATACATACATGGTTACTATGATTACATACATGGTGATACTACGATACATACATGGTGATGGGTACTATGATACATACATGGTGATGGGTACTATGATACATACATGGTGATGGGTACTATGATACATACATGGTGATGGGTACTATGATACATACATGGTGATGGGTACCTATGATACATACATGGATGATGCGTGGTACTATGATACATACATGGTGATGGGTACCATGATACATAACGCAGGGACACCATTTTAAAGGGACTTGCACACGTACACACGCACAAATACTTGCAAGTTTACACACTGTTTCAAAGAATGCAAACACTACACATTTGTTACTAATTTGCGGCTGCTTGTACCTAGACCAGACTGAAGCTGGTTTTATAGTGCTAGCTCACTGAGATACCATGCCGCAGTGAAGCATACGAATACCCCACTCAGACACATTATACTGACTCCGAGCCGACCAGTCCCTTGTTGTATCCATTATTGCCGAGCGCCAGGCAGGGACCAACAAGAACCATATTTTAACGTCCTTGGTATGACGCGGTCGGGGATCGAACCCGCGACCTACCACACTGCGGGCGGATGCTCTAGCCACTACACCACGGAGGCGGTCCCCGGGTGTGTGTTAATGTATAGAGATGTGTATATTTCAATCAGATTGATGAAAGGCAATGAAAATATGATGACAGAAAGAAAGTAACGAAATGATTAAAGCATGCATTCCGGTATACAACACAAACTATAGTTCAAACCTTTCGTATACCGTTGCCATCCAACTTCCCGTCACCCGTAAGGCTGTCATTTTAGAAACATAATGAGTAATATGAATTGAAAGCGTTCTTACATTCACCAGATGATATTTCCGTGCATGTTACAGTTCGTCACCAGCTCAAGTCGCACGAGGTATAGGATATGCAAAAGACGCCATCAGTAATTGATTACTGCCCCTTGCAGTCACGTGACACCCATGTCAGAGAGTTGCTGGTGTGTGTGTCACAACAGGCCCGCGTCTCATGTACTCTGGGTCATTCAACATCTCAAACTGTAAGTGAATTCCCCGCTAACAGCCATTAGTAATTGATATCTGCGCAGTTGCAGTCACGTGATACACACGTCAAGTTAAAAGTTTATCATGACAATAGGCCAGTGTCGAATGCACACTACAACATTCAGCTCACAGACTGTTTGTCAAAGACCCGAAAAACTACATCTTCATTTATGAGTGTCCAGTTTAGATTATATTTATCCCGTGATCAGTTTACATTGCAAAGTCACAGAAAAAGTGTCAGTCCCCACATTTCACCAAATAACGTTGCGATATATACCATCAACAAAAATAACACTCATGAATACTACTTTAGTAATTACTCAAATAGTGAGGTCATTCTCTTATTCAAAATCATAAAACATGTTGGCCCTTGTTCAGATAGGTGTTGGCCCACTTTCTTAAATCAGCTCAATTGGCTCCAGGTTTGTGAAAAGTTGGATGCATCCCGTGCCTTTACAACAGCAAAT